AGCCATTCAACTCCCGTTCACCGAGGGATCAACCTCCAAAACCCTTTCGAGGGCTACAAGAAACGAAGTGAGTAGCCTACAAGATTGAAGCTGGTCAGATAACGAACGAGTAAATGAAAACAGAATGAGGCGGAGAAGTGTGTGTGTGTGTGTGTGTGTGCGTGAGATTAAAATAGCCCAATTGCTTTTACAATAAATAAACATTGAATGTGTTTAATTGAATAGTAAAGGGGTTTAACGTTAGTGGCAGGTTGTGTGTGAGAGAGAATAAATAAGACAGCCCAATATTTAAAAAAATTGTTATTCTTTTCCCCCGCATATTTAGCATATTTCGCAAGTTTCCGCATATTTCCTAACTTCCCGCAATTTCACCGCATAAAATCACATAAAACCCCGCATGTTTAATCGCATAATCAAGGATTTTAGCCCGCATAATCAAGGAATTTAGCCCGCATAATCAAGGATTTTTGCCCGCGTTTTTCTGGAGGGTCTACATTATGATAAGGAGATGAACAAAGGCAAATTGAGGTGTTTCAGGCAGGGGGGGGATGTTTTAGCGTAAGAAATTCCTCTGAAGGGAACTTTAGGATTTTAGCCTTTGCAGAGTTATTCACAGCACAAAAACCTACATAACAAACTACAGGAACGGGATACCCAAAAAGCATAATAAGGGCCCCTTAGAAGTCCTAAGCCTCGAAAAGGGTCTGAAAGGAGGGAGGTAAGGCACAATGTCCTTAAAGGTGTTCCTTTCCTCGCTATGTATTAGTTACAAGGACTGTCACACACAGATGGGTGTGTATGCAAAGATACACATGAACTTCACACACTACATTTCATCAAAAACTAAACGAGATTAATTCAATGGAATTATAAGATTGTGTGTTTGAGAGTGCGCCTTGTTCCTGGTTTATTTCATTCTCTCTTTGTTTTTACATCATTAATACCCTCTCTCTCACACACACACACAAATATTTGTATATCCACACATAGCTCACTGGTAATGGCAGCTATGAAGAACACAGACACACACACACACACACACACACACACACACACACACACACACACACACACACACACACACACACACACACACACACACACACAAACAGTGGAATTTAAAATAATTTACATACTTAACATCTATTTCCTACATGTACATTCAAATGCCAAGGTATTTAGTGTTTCTTTCATATCAATCTTTTAGTTTCAAGAATTGGTCCTCCAGAGTTTTGAAATGTTTTTTTTCATTGAGAATGACCATATTTCTCCATTTATTGTTGTCATAGTGACTGTTATTTGGAGTTGTAATGGACTAGTAAGTGCAGGTGACTTTCAAAGCTTGTCACTTAATTGAAAGTTAAAAGAGTTTTAGAAATCCAAAATAAATTGACAATCTTTGTATATTTTTCTGTAATATAATGCTTATTTACAGGAGACATTTTTTCTTCTATTAAATCCTCCAGGCTGTCATGAGTCGTGCTCAGAATGCCGTGGGCCGGGCCAGCAGGAGTGTGTGTCCTGTTCCGACCCGGCTGCCTTGCTCAAAGACGGGGGATGTGTCCCTGACTGTGGCGCTGGTTTCTACAGTCAAGAAGGCGTATGCTACGGTAACGTTTAGACCTTTCAATACTGCACTACGGAAAAAATTGCAGAATTGTCTTTAACACTGTTATGGATGTAGCAAGTTTTTTTATATGAGGATTGTTGGAGTATGGAAAAGTAATCCTAACCCGAATCCTCCAACAAACCAATGCTAATACGAGCTAAGATCAGGCGTCAAAAGCTAAGTACACATTTCTCTAGATGGTTAATAAAGATATCACCTAGCCTAGACCCAACAAACACTTATATTAGTCTTAAAACAATCACATTAGTCTAAAGTTTAAAATCTTCTTTCAAAAATGTTTCTCACCTCATTCGTTTAACCTAAAATATTTACTGCAATAACTTGTTTACCAGAGCTTCCTTAAATAGATGTAAACAAATTACATTCAGCTACATAAAATAACCTGACTTGTTCTGTTTTGTTTTGGTATATTTTCTGCTGCAGTGAGCAAACTAATTGGACTCTGGTTCTTCAGTAATAGAATGTTTAATTGTTTAGTGTCTTTGCAAAATGTTTTAACTTTGGTCTATTTCGAGAAATCTGCTAATGCATTTTCCCCGCATGAAATATCTGAATTATTTGTTATTGTCAATAAAAAAAGTAAAATATATAGAGTTGAATTCTAAACATTTGAAAATGTAATAATTCCCAATTAATAAAGCTTCAAACAGGCAGATATGATATGCTATATGTGCTATTCTAGATGTTTAGGATGAAAAAGTACCTGACAAAACCGCAGTCATCCAACTGAAATGTTATCGCTGTGTAGCTTCTTATTTAAACAGACACATTCTAATGCACTGCTGCAGTAAACAGAAAACACACTGACCCCTACATTCCACTGGGTCCGTCTGCGGCGCGTTATGGCTGCGCCGCGGTTTTGGTCCGGCCTCCTCCAGCGTCATACCCTACCGGGCGCGTTTCAGAAACACTTCAGAAGCGGAGCGTCTTGCGTGCCGGCTCGCAGTTTTTGTTGATTTGGGCATATTTCCTGGACAGGCTACTTTGTACAGACAAAGTTAATAATAATTATAATATCCCAGTTATAAACGACATGAATCAAAGATGTGTTGCTGTATTTTAGTGGTAAAAAAAATGCCTTCATCATCATAATTATTCTATATAATTTACACAGTGCCTGTAAACCGGAGGAGAACGCTGGCATTTCTCCTCCTACTTGAAAGACTACGGAGGGATAGGGTCTGCAAAATTAGTTTGTGTGTATGCTATATATGCTCTGAACGTTCCACTTCCTGCCTGCCCGACATTACCTTACGGCTGCGTCGCGTCGAAAAATAGACTTCAATCCTATTTCGAGCGGAGCCCAGCGGCGAGACGCTTCTGGGACGCTTCTGAGCCGTAACGCGGCGCGTCTGGTGGAATAGCACCCATTGACTAGAGTGGCCGCGATCCTTGTGGACGCTGCGGCGTGGCCGTAATGCGGCCGTAACACGCCGCAGAAGGACCCGGTGGAATCTAGGGGTTAGGCGGACAGTTAAAGAAACATTGCATTGCATTTGGAATGTTGTTAGTAGGGTCTTTCAGTCCGTTAATCAAATACATCAACTTAAGGAAACAATCCATGATGCTTATCTGTTGGCAGGTATTTGGCTCACAGGTCTGCAGACTTTACAGGGTGCAAACAAACAGAAATTACAAAAATGTAAGATTTCTAAATTTTTTGAAATGTTATGGAAATGTTCCAACACAAATGTCAAACTCTTTTTTATGGAATGACATGCAAGACTCAGCCCTTCACCCTTATCTATTTCATATCGTACCTTAATAAATGCTTGCCAGGGGCGGTGCCAGGCAGTAGCTTGGAGTTGCTACAGCAACACCAACATTTGGCCTAGCAACTGCTAAGCAACCCCAACAAATGTATGTTTTTTTTAATATATACGTATGTGAGGGCGGGTCTCGGGGGGGGGGGGGAGACTCTTCAACACCCCATGGCTCATGTGGTGGACTTGAAGCCCTCAGCAGGGAGGCCTCACAGAAAATGTCAAAAACCTAGGGAATGTCTTGAAAAAAAGGTCAAATCCATTAGAAGTTGCCATTTTGAGCTTAGAGATGTGTTTTTAAATGTCAAGATCCGGAGAGAGCTGAAGGTTTCAACTTGTCGGGGTTTTCCCTCTCAGGGTCTTCTGGGTTAGATTTGATAGCTTTCTATTTTTGTCCCCTCCAGCATGCCGTAGGAGTACCTGTCATTGATTTCAGTCTCAGTTAGGATGGAGGCAAAGATCTGCCTGAGCTTGTGTGCATGTCAAAGTGTCATGTCAATATGGAATTCTCCACACAGTGGTTTTCACACACACACAAATGCACTTTAAATTGCACTCACAACAAACTCAACCATAGTCCTGTTTCCAGTGTGAGAGCGGCTCCAGGGCCAGTTTGGAGCCCCTCCCCGATTGCGAACCAGTGTTTGGTGTTTCTACCGCAGCGGTGGCAACTCTCTGACCCCGAAAACTGGTTCGCATTTAGAACTAAATAGCTGCTGGTCAAGAACCAGCTCCGAACTAAAAAGCACCGGCACCAAACTACAACAAAACAGATTCCCGTTGGAAAAGGGGAAAAGGGGTATTAGGTTTCTGACTTTCGGGATGATTACAGAAAGTTCTGTTCGGTTAGGATCTGAAAAGAGCAGCAGAGCTCATTTTAGGAACAGCTCAAAGCTTAGTGTGTAACCCACTGAACGATATGCATGATGACCAAAACTATGCGACCAAAGCTAACCAAATCCGTGTTTTCCAATATACCAAAAGCACCACAACTTGGTTTGGCTTTTCACATGTGAAAAGGCCCGAGTCACAAAGTGAAACTCAGTTCTTCTTACAGAGTTTGGTTAAGAGACTTTACTTAAACACAAAGCATTTCATCATTCCAGCCATAAGCCATTAACATTTACATTTTGCGATTCACAGCCTGCGATTCGTCCTGTGCCTCCTGTTTCCCTGACAACCCCAATTGCATGAGCTGTCTGCCAGAAGCCGCCTTGCACCATGGGAAATGTATTTCCCAATGTCCAGCACAGCATTACCTGGAGGACAACAGCAGATGCAGAGGTAGGATTCATCTTGAACACCAATTCCAACCTACATTTAGTTTTTAAGTAAAAGAGAGGAAGGACTCAGCCATGGTTGTGTTTCCACCCTGTTCCCTTGTTCCTCAGTCTGCCACAGCTCCTGCTCTTCCTGTTGGGGTCCCTCTGTGTCCCAGTGTACCCTGTGCCCAGGTGGGCGTCTTCTTCACCAGGGTCAGTGTGTGGAGGCCTGTGGGGAAGGACTTTACTCCCAGGACACCACCTGCCACAGTAAGAGCTTCAATCTAATCATTTCAGGATTATACAAATAAGCTTATATGAAGAGCTAATAGTGATGAATACGTTTGGGACAGGTGTTGCCGATAGCTCACCAGAAATATATGGTGGTCCATGTACTGGGACTCAATATAACTGTGGCGGACGTGGGTTTTGATTTCGACCTGGGCACCATTTACACGGATCACCCCCTATCTCCCCCTTTCCAATCTGTCTCCATAATAAAAGCCTTGCAAAAATTAAAAGGTCTTTTCATAAATGATAACATATGGAATTATATTTTATATCTATGGTTTTATATGAAATTACCTTATGTACAGTCAAAAAAAGACATGTAGTCATTTTTTGAAAGACCCATATGATAATTTTCAAATGTTCTCCCTTGATACTCTATATAGGGCCACAGTAAAATCATAGTAGGGAAAAGAGATTTTCTTCTGATCCTCACCAGTCTGCAAGCAAACGCAGTGCGGGGAGCAGACCAAAAGCTGCTCCCTCTAAGCCCCTGCCTTTCAACTCCCAGAGCTTGTCTATCTTTTTCAGGGCTCTGCACTCACCTAGTACCAACGCCTTGCTACCCTACTGGCAAAAAGTCCTTTAGCTGGTTCGTGAAGCTTATGCTAATGTACCTGAACACATCGCCCTTCCTGCAGTGACTTTGCCAGATCTGGCCAAAACCCCTGCAAAGCCTCAACCCGAGCAACAAATTAACTGTCAAATAGTTAACTGCATGAGAAATGAAGAAAAACACAAATAAATTGGTTAATTTTGCCATTTGCCTTTTAGATTGTCACCCCTCTTGCCGGTCTTGTGTGGGACCCTTGGCCTCAGACTGCCTCCGCTGTTTGAAACCAGAGGAAGCCCTCCTGCTGCAGTCCAGTCCCCTCCAGCACGGCGTCTGCACAGCCGGGTGTCCTGCACACAGCTTCTTGGATCACATGTACACATGCAGAGGTGAGTGCGTTTAAATGACTACATCCACTCAGGGGGATCAATACCTGCATGGATAAGCTAGCGGGTCTCTTTGGTTTATTGCTAGGGTTGTGGCAACTCACCAAGCCAATCAGCAAACTATGTATCAGGTACAGATCAGGTATCACTAGCAGTATTGTCATTAAAGCACAAAAGAAAATCTAGAGTTTTCAATCAAACTACAACAGTTTCGAAGTGCTGAAATAATTTGTCATCAATCAATTAGTCTATTGACAGAAAATATTTTGACGAGAATTTAAATTTTAGAATTTTAAAGACTAAACAATTAGTTGCCTGATCGAAAATAAAATCCATCCGGTAATATATGATACAATTATAATTTGTTGCTGCCAAAATGCTATTTGAATTTCAAGTTTGTTCCATTTTGTTATTACTTTTCTTTAAAATCCCACAGATTTTACATATCGTACGTACAGATTTGTTTGTTAGGACCAGAATAAAAAGAGAACGTATGTTTCATTGACGAAAATCTCAGGGTAGAGTCTAATGCAGATGCTTTTTACTCTCCTGGCCAATACTTAATATGCTACACAGATTAAGTGTTATGGTGTGCATTATCTCAAAATAAATTCCTCTCTTGGTCATCTTCACATAAGACTAAGTTTTGATTTTGGTGATTGCATTTTTTATGAAGCTTTGCAGCTGTGTGTGAACATGTTTCTGTTTGAAGAATAAAGACAGTGTTTGTGGAGACACCTGTTTGTGTGAAACTGTGCGTGTAATGGGCACATTTTTAAGGTGGGTTTCAGGTTTCAGGGGATAGTTTGTCAAGCGAGAGTAATTATCACCGGCCTACCAACACAAACTACCACAACCTCTCGAAGCGGGACAAGAACAAAGATGAAAAGGGAGATGAAAAGACTGTAATCAGTTTTCTTTACCTCCCTCGTACCCCACAACTGTGAAATCCGTTTAGCACGAACACCGCTCTGCTATCTTCTTACCTCCCTGCTCAGTCTTGTGCTAACTGACCGTCCTGCGCTCAGTGTTTGGCAGAGGGAACGGTATTAGTTCTACCTTCTGTCTCCAGCGCAGCCAAATCTTTCGCCAACGCTGGCGATTTGTTCAGCTTTACTTTCTGTCTCTGTGCTTTTTTTATTTTTTTATTCTGCCGGAGCTGCTGTTACCTGAAATGAGCTGCTGTTGACATCACAGCTGAAAAAAGCTAATTGCTTGACAGCCAGACATCTGAGTGCATCAGTAAGAGTGGTTTTGTAAACATCGGATGCCAATATCACAAAAAAAGAAGGAAGTCCCACTCATTTCTCTTGGTTTTAATATTCCCCTTTAAAGTGGTTATTGGTGAAATTCTTGTTTTTATACTATCTTCTTTATGTCTTTCATGAATAGCAATTAAATTAAAGTTCCCTCCAGAGGGAGTTTCTCCCCCCCCCTGCCTGAAACACCTCCATTAGACTCCTTTGTTAACTTCTGTGACATAACAACATCATTGTACACTATGTAACACTTGCGCTGCTATTGGCTAGCGCTCTGACACATTGTATGTGATAGTCTAAGAGGCGGGACATCTCGAAGCTGTTGACCAATCACAACAGAGCCGGCAAGCTAACCAATCAGAGCAGACTGGGCTCTGGTTTCAAACAAAGGGTGGAAAAAGTTTCTGCAGTACAGGCAGTATGAGAAAAATAAAGACCTTTTTGAACATATTGACATACAGTATTGACTCTAAAATCAGTTAACCAAATGTAACATGTTCTTTTAAAGTTTAAAATCAGCTAATTAGATTTGACCTCATGTGTTACTTCTATGATGGAGTTACATACGTTTAATTTTTGGAACTACCGGTAGATATTTTGCAGGTTGCCATTTTTTAATTAGAGCAGAGTTTTTACAGCCTGAAGTTTTCAAACTTACTGTATAGTATTCACTTGGGAAATATATTTTATTCAGAAAACCCAAGTGAAGCAATAAGTTATTGGTAGTTGCAAGTCTTATTGAGAACAGACTTGAGTCACCAATTGTTTGATTTGAGTCATGTGGCTCATGGCAACACCTTTGAAAAATTACCTTCTTTCACTTTTATTAACGTTTGATCTTAGTGAAGGTTAGGGAAATATTTTGGCCATGGTTTAAAGAAACTAAAGTATACTGTTTGCAGGCAGCGGGATGTGAACAGCATATCCTTAATAATTAAGATACATGAGTTGTGGAGTCTTGCAGTATCCATTGTTTGTGTAGTAATAGCACGTTAAAAAAAGAAAACTGAAACTAGAAAGAAACTTGAAGAAAGTCAGGTTTTATTCTTGGTCGGTTTATGGGAATTCCCATGGCGTTGCAGATAAGTCCTGGCTGTTTACAGTCACTCAGCAGCTGTGTTACAAGGTGCGAGAGTACGTCAATTACAGAGTGCTCTGAGGAATGTCTTTATAGTTTCCTGTTAGCTGTTGGTTCCTGGATTCCTAAAGGTCTAAAACATTGTAATTTGTCGCTTCTGTTGTTGGTACTTTTCTCTCAGTTCCTGTGTTGTTTTCTAAACGAGGAGAGTCTTTTAAGCACTTTAAAGGGGCCATATGATGCTCTTTTTCAGGTTTCATAATTGTATTTTGTTGCTCTACTGCAGGGGTGGCCAACCCGCAGCTGCGGAGACACTGACTCCTGACTAGTGTTGCACGGTGTACCGATACTTGAAAGTTATACCGCAATACCCTGCCATTAAAAACGTTACGATTCCTCCGTTTCATTAGTAATGGTACTTTAAAGGAACGACGGGGGAAAGTACTCCGGTGAGAAAGCGTCCATTTTAATAAGAGCCGTGTGTGTTCAGCGCTCTGCTTCCAATCCCTGCACTGCAGCCGTGCCTGCAGTCCTCCCCTCTCAAGCACGCTCTAAGGTCCTCCCCTCTCTCGTTCACCCGCTCGCTGCCAGAGCATGTGAGAAGACGAGAAGCATGGCTGCAAG